AAAGTTTGTCTGTTTGTTACCTTCAACCTTAAATTTATAACAATTTCCGGTTTTGATAGTTATCGATAAAAATTTTTGTTTCCCCCTCCTCCCCCCTTCTTTTCGTTATAATTTTTCGAAAAGGAAAAGTCGACAACAAAAAGTCAAAAAAAAAAAATGAAACAAAATATTTTCACGTTCGAATTCTATGGTTGTAAAAAAAAGAAATTATTTCCGTTTCCGGTTTTTATTAATTTTCCTCTTTATATCAATAATATTAAATAATAATAACAATCTTTATTATTATTATTATTATTATTATTATTAGACGATAATTGAAAAATGATTTTTGACCTTTTTTTTTTTTTTTTATAAAATCAAATTACTAACCTTTAAAAAAAAAAAAAAGTGAAAATTTCATCCAATAAAATTCGCGCGTTTTTAATTTTTTTTAATTTTTCTTTTTTCATTATCATCATCATTAATAACCTTATTAATTTTTCCTTTTTTTTTTTTTTTGTTTTTAATTCGTAAAAAGGAAAAATTTAAAAGGAAAATGACTCAAGGGGTTGATAATGAATGGAATCTTCTTTTTTTTTTTTTTTTTTTTTTTTTTTAATTTAGGGAAATGAAAAAACCTGTTTGGGGGGGGGTTTCACCCCATTTTCCTTCATTTTTTGTTTTTTTTTTTAATACTTTCATTAAAAACTTTTCTTTTTTCTTATTCGATAATAATTTTTTATCTTTTAATGTAATAATAATAATAATAATAATAATAATAATAATAATAATAATAATATTAATAATAATAATATTAATAATAATAATAATAATAGGAAAAATATTATTAAAAATAATGATGATGATGACGATGATAGAAATGATGCGTTTGCCCTTTTTATAAAAAAGGTTTTTCTTTAAAAAAAAAAAAAAAAGGAATCGTGAGATTTTATTATTATTATTATTATTATTATTATTATTATTAATATAAAAAAATTAATTAAATTTTAAAAACGAATATTCGAATGTGATGATGATAATAATAATGATGATTATAATTTCACGGGGGGAAAAAATTTTTTATTCGGACGAGAAGGAATTTTACAAAAGGAACAAAATGGCGATGAGAATTTTCAAAATGGCGAATAAATGTTTGGAAAAAAAGAAAGAAAAAGTATCCAATAATTTTATAAGTTTTTTTTTATTTCACGGATTAAGTTTTTTATTTACACACACTCACATGTTTTGTTTTTGTTTTTTTTTTTACGGAGGGGGGGCAGGGAGGAAACCGTGAGAAAATAAAAAAAACCGGAAATTCCAATTTTTTAAATTTTAAAAATTTATTTTTCTTTTTTTTTGGCTGTGTGTTTGTCCATAATATTTACTTTTTAAAAAGTTTAAGTGAAAAACGTGCGTTTTTTCTACTTCCTTTTCCGGTCTCTTTTTTTTTCATTTTTAAAAAAAAAGGGGGGGGTGAAGAAAAATTCCCCGAGCGATGATATTATCTGACAAAAATAATACACACGTCATGGTTGAATGTGTCAAAATAATATTTTTATTGCTGGTCTGATGGTTACAAGTTGAAACAAAAGATGTTTTTTTCACCTGACCTTCGTCACCTTTCATCTTTTTTTTTAAAACGTGTCAGAAGACAAAAAAAGTTTTTATATTTTTTTCATACACGTGGTATTTTATATTTTTTATTAATCCGCGTTTGAATACGCCGAATTTTTTTTTTTTTTATTCTTTTTGTCGTTTATTATCAGACGTGGGTTTTATCGTTCGCCACCGACGCCTCCTTCCTCTCCCCTCCCTTCCCTACCAGCTTTCCCAAAATAAATCATCCGGTATAATTTTCCTTTCGATCAAATTAATTAAACGGATTATTCAACCCCCCCCCCCCCGACTCGTAAATATCTTTTATTGGTGTTTTGTCTTAAAAAGATAAATTTTCTTAAGTGTGTGAAAATTAACAACATTTAACGTGTTTACCCTTTTATCGATAATATCGATTTGTTTCCGGTAAAAATCAATCGATGATAAATTTTAAATGACGTCATACCAACGTCACAAAGTTCGTTCATTAATTCGTTAAAAATTTTCTTCTTCAACGCGCGTTACGAAAAAAAAAAAAAAAAGAAACAGGAAAATTTTTTTCTACGCACGATGTGTCGTGTGCAGACGATTAATTTCGACATATAAAATTATATTTAAAAAAATTTATGAACGCGCACGCACCTACACACTCGACACGCGTACACGTATAAAAAAAACCGTTAAAACTTTTTAGGTTTTTAATTAAAAATTGTTCAAAAAAAAAAAATTTTTTTTTTTCTCTCTCCCCATAAAGCCATAAAGCCATCACCACCACCACCATCATCATCATCATCACCATTTGGTCAAGATTAATATAATATTAAACTCGTGAAATTCCCTTTTTTTTTTTTTTTGGTAAAAAAAAAAGAGAGAGAGAGAAGAGTGAACCTTTTTCAGTGAAAGGTTTAAAAAAAAAACTTTTGTATAAAAATTATCTTGTAAACATTCAACAGGTGAAAGAGAATCTGCAAAAAAAAGAAGGATTCGCCTGATAAATGTAAAATTTTATTATTATTATCATCGTCGTCGTCGTGGTAATCATTATCACAGTTAAGTGTGTTATATAATTAATTGTCTATTGACACGTTCGATAAGTGAGAAGAAAAATGTTTATAAAGGGTCCAATTTTAAATTTAAAAAAAATTTTTTTTTTGAAAATTTGAAAAAAAAAAGGAAGTTAGGGAATTAAGTGGGGGGAGGGGAAGGGGGAGAGGAGGGGGATAAGGAAGGGTAAAAGGTCAAAAGGTTTATCACACACAGCGTAAAGAAATTCATCTCTCGTATTTATATATATTTTTATTAATTTGACCTTCAAAAAAAAAAAATTTTCACGCTCGTATCCAATAATTTAAAAAAAAAATTTATGAGTTTTTTTCGTTTTTGTCTTTGTTTTTCCTCCATTTTGATGACGTCAAATATGCGCACGACATAACTAAAACCTTTTTTTAAAATAAAAAAAAACTTTTTAAACGATTAAATAATCTTTTATTTAAAAAAAAAAAATTAGAGAAAACGGTTTGAAAAAAAAAAAAGTTTTTTGTCGAATCATTTCATCTTTTCTCAAGTTTAAAAGAAACCTCAAAAACTTTTCATGGAAAATTTTATTTTCTCTCTCTCTCTCTCTTGTTGTGTTGTTGTATTTTTTTTCTTTCCCCCCCAATCTCTCTCTCTTTCCCACATTTTTTCCTCGAATTTAGTTTCATCGTAAAATCCAACGAAAAAGTACAAAAAGAAGAAGAAGAACCTTTAAAAATTTTAAACTTCTTCACCTCCCTCCTACTCCTCCTTTCTTTTTCTCTCTCTCTCTCTCTCTCTAACCCCTTCGACAAAAAATAAAAAGAAAAATTTCTGACGGACGCCATTTTTAATTAAATTTTCTAAAATATAATAAATGTCTCATCAAATCAACGATCAAAGAATATGAATTTATTTTTAAAAAAAGGCTTAAATAGAAAAATTTTTTTTTTAAAAAAAAAAAGGTTAAAAGTTTTTTTTGTCCCACCCTTTCCCTTCCCCCTTCCCCTCCTTCCTTTTTTTTAAATAAATTACATTAAAATTTTGTTTTAATTTCCGCTTTTCTCTTTCTTTCTTTCTTTCACTTTCAGGAGAAAAAAAAATGTGATTGGGGGGAACCAAAAAAAATGAAGGAAACAAATGAGAGGGGTTTATTTTAAACACGCGTTTAAATTATTTTATTATTATTATTATTATTATTATTATTATTATTATTATTATTATTACTAATCGAATTAATAAATTAAATGTTTTGTTAATTATTATTATAATTAATTATTTATTCGGGGAGAATGGGCGTCGCGATTGTCGATTTGCAAATAGAAACAAACGAGATTTTTTTTTATTTAAAAAAAAAAAAATCCGTTTGTTTAAGTTGTACCAAGTCGCTTATGTTTAACTTACCGATTTTTAAATCAAATTAAATAAATTTATCAAAATTCGATTTTGTCGTGTTTGAAAAAGAAATTTTTCATTTTGTGACGTTTGCAGAAAATGGAAAAATCGCTTTCCCCTCTCCTTTTAGCGAATTATTATTATTATTGTTGTTAAAAAAAATAATAAAACTTTTTCATTAACCTTTTTTTTCTCCCCCCCCCTCCAAAACCCTTCGCACGATGATGATATTATATTTGTAAAGTATAATAAAAAGCGATTAAAATATTTAGAAAAGTGAACGAGAGAGAGAGGGAGAGAGAGAACATGAGGCTTTTTAGAAAAAGTTAACAATAGTCTAGTGCATTAAAATTTAATGGATTATACAAACTTCCTTATAACAAACAAACATACAAACTTTGCAATTTGAAAAATTTGTACAAATTAAAAAAAAAAAAAAAAAAAAAATATTTTTTTTTGACGATATTTAAACATTTGTTTAATTTAAATTATTTCGAGAGAGAGAGAAAAAAAATGGCGACGAAAAAGTTTTTTTTTTTTTTTTTAAATTAAATATAAAATTCCTTTTCCGGTTTGGTTTTTAATTAAATTTATTTTTTAAATCTTTTTTTTTTTATTATTGTCGTTGTTGTTGTTGTTATTGTTATCATTGGTTTTTATGTTAATGTTTTTAATGTTTTCCTAAATGTAAAATGTTCGAACATGGCAGTTTTAAAACATTTAAATGTTTTTTTTAACGGTTAATAATTCGGTTGGTACGCGTGTTTTAAAAAACAAAATGGCTTTTATACTTTTGGCAAAAAGTTGTCTCGATTATTTAAAAAAACGTGGTGGTATTAATTAATCAAAAAAATATATATAAATAAAATTTGTTAAGAGTCATTTGTTTTCCAACAAACGGATTCACACAAACAAATATATAAACGGGGCGTAAATTTTTTTAACGGTCCTTTCCCTTCCCCCTCCTCCCCCTTCTCCTTTCTCCTCCCTCCCGCATATTCTCTCACCATATCCTGATGGAAAATACAACATGTCGGAGAAATTTTCTTAGATTTATTACACTGTTATTAATGAGATTCACAAAATTCTTCTTCGTCTGAACGATTGTGTGTGTGTGTGTGCGAGTCGGCAATAAATTTATTATCTGACCAATTGTATTTTGGAATTTTAGTTATTACGCTGCTGCTGTAGCTCCGAGATTAGTTCCACCCATAAAAAGACCGAGATTGATGGTTGCTCAAACGAGGCCTACTAAAAATGCTACAACAACCACAACCGCTACTACACCACCCAATGCCAATTCAACAAATCAGGTTAAGGTTTTTCCATCGTCGCAAACGAATAATGGAATCGTTCCGACTGCTACCGCTACTCCCACAGCAGCAGTAGCATCAGCACCAGCAGCACCAGCATCAAATCCTTCGACCGCTGTCGTCGCTCCGGTCACTACTTCTAAGGATCAGATAAAAATTTATAGTAAGTTTAAAGATTTTCTTTTTTGGTTTTTTGAGTGCGTGTGTGCGCGTGTTTTCACTTTTAAAAAAACCATTCCGCTCATTCTTTGATTTTAATTAGGTAATCCAGACATTTTAATTTGTGGTAACTGTAGAGAAATGTTTACCGAACTTCAAGATCTTCTCGATCATAAAAAAGCTTATTGTAAACTTCGTTTCACCTGCAAGTGCAACATAATCAACGGCGTAAAATCTCGTGAGTACTTTAAAAATAAATAAATAAATTTAGACGTGTGAGTAGAAATTGGAATGTGTTTGAAAATCAAATAAGAGGGCAGGGGAAGGGGGTAGGTGTGTGGAGCAGGAGCATCAGGAGAAGGAGCAGGAGCAGGAACACGGGAAAGAATAAGAATAAGGAAAAAGGATGAGGGTTCCCTTTGGTGTACTGCATGAAAAAACTCATGTAGCAATCACTTTGTGTGTCGGACATAGATTCCCAATGGAATAAATTCTAGAAAAATTCCCTTCGGTTTCCGGTTTTGCGAGGTTTTTCATTGATTTCCCTCCAGGCTGGAAAAAAGGCGAACGTTTCTTTACTATGGAAATTTTTCCATTGCCAAACTTAGTCTTTGCTAATTTATCTTTTTTTTTTTTTTATCTTTTCTTTTCTTTTCTTTTTATATATCAAAGCGTGAAAATTTTCAAATGAATTCCAGTAACTCACGTTCAATATATTCACGTTCGTGTTTGTTTTTTTTTCTTCTCTGTCGCTGTAGCAAGCAGTCGTAAAGACGCAGCAGCATTATTATGCGTTCAATGTAAGGATGCTTTCATAAGCGCTTGGGATCTCATGGTTCACGTTCAAGCTGCCCACATGGTTAACATATACGAGTTAGGAGTTCCAAAATGCTCCAATGGTACACAACACATATCACCATCGGCATCTCCTATTAGAAAGGTTAGTAGATATTTTTTTTTCTTTTGATTTAAGGGGGGAGAAGAGGGACGAATGCAAAAAGATGGGAAAATTCGGGTCGATGAATCCAAACACCCAATCCTTGCCCTGAAAGAAAAAGATACCGAGTTCCACGTTGTCCCCCTCCCCGATTCGGATGCAGGTCTGTTTCTTCATATATACCGAAAAAGAACCAAATGCGACCTATCACACTTCCGGGACGGAGTCCCTAATTACGGTGACGAAAGATACTCGTTCCCGGCTGTTGAGATATCCCTGTCGATCGTGAAAGAATACGTGAGTCGTTTGATCCGGAACCCCTGACCAAAAACATCCACTGCACCCATCCTCCTAGTAGCCGAATTAGAGGAACACGCCACAATTTCCGGCCCAAAGGGTGTTTCCTTTTTTTTTTTTATGTTACATCATTCATCACTTATTGTTATTGACAGTCTTTTTTTTTTTTTTACTCCGTCTTGAACCTTTTACCCTTATGAACGCATTTTTTTTCTTTTCTGTCGTTTAAATCATTTTTCTTTCTTGACCTTTTTCAGAAGATTTTCGACACTTTCTAAAACAAAAAAATTTTTTTTTTTTTTATTAAATCTTATTATTATAAATTATTATTTTTTCTTTCTTAAATGTTTCTTTATAACGGTCAAATCGGCCATTTTGTTTCCCCCCCCCTTTTTTTTTTTATAAATTCTCGCGTTAACAAAATTTCACGGATAATTTATTTTTGTTTATTTCATCATCGTCACTTCTTCATTTTCCTTTGACGTATTTGAGGCCAGTTTATTATTATTATCATTATCAAGGGAAATGGTCATTTTGAAAACGATGGAAAATATTTTTACTTAAATTCCACCGACTCAAAATTCCAATAAAATAAAATAAAATAAAAAGAATGAATTTTTTTTCTTTTTTTCCGAGGGTGTTCTTCTTTCTCCTTTCAACCCTCTCACTCGATAAGAAATCAATTTCAAGGTGAAAAAATTCCTTTTTTATAAGTCACGTGACTTATTATTGAAACGCCATGTTTTTCCCCCGTACTTTTTCATTTTAACTTTAAAATATGATTGATGATGATGATGATGATATTTTTGTTAAATTATCCAATATTATTATTTTCAATTTTTTTATCTTGTCGTCATTTTAAAAATTTTATTCGTATTCAAAACAGGATGGATTGGGAAAGGTGTAAAGGGGGTGGGATGTGGGGTAGGTAGAGAGAAAATTTTGAAAAATCTCCGGTTGGAAAATAGTAAAAAAAAAAAAAAAATTTCAAACGTCGTAGTTTTTATATAATTTTATTTTAAAATACAATTATTATTATTATTATTATTATTATTAATAATATTTCGTTTAAATGAATAATACGTAAAGGGTATATGTATATATAGATAGATGAAAGGGAAAATTTTAGTAACAAACAAGGAGGGATTTTTGAAATAATGGGTTTTTAAAAGATTATCAGGTCGGTCACCATCGTATTTATAATCCGAATAGCGATGATAGTATGCAAATTTGTTGAAATATCCGTGAATAAACAACAAAAGGTTTGGGAAAATTTTCCGGAAAACATTTCGGACGAAATAATAATAATAATATTTAAACCAATATAGAGAAAAGGTTTAAATTATAAAAAAATAAAAAATAAAAAATGAAAAATTTTTAACCTTTAGGCTAAGTTAAAAAGGATAATAAATAAACGGATAAAAAAATTTTTTTTCTAACTGCTTGTTGTTTGTCTGTCTTTTTCCAGAACGGCGTTGATGACGATGGAACGGATGATATTCTATTAGAATCTCCAGATTCTGGAAAACATCGTGAAAACGAATTGGATCAACTTATGGATGCAATCGATACTGAAGGATCCGAGTGTTGCGTATTAAACAACATAACATTGGTTAGAAATAAATGTTTTCCCTTCCCTTCCCTTCCCGTTTTCCACCCCCCGTTATTCCCTTTTTCATTTGTTGTAATAAAATTATTATTATTATTATTATTTAATTTCGGGAATTATATTACTTGAAAATATCATTACAGAATCATAATACAGACAGCAACAATAGCACCGATGAAATTCCATCTTTGATAGGAAAACCGATTAATGGAAATGCTCCAGGACCGGAGTGACTTCAATTTAATTTATGTTAGAATTGTTTTGTGTGCTTTGACAACAACAACAACAACAACAACAAACAATAAGTGCCATCTTCTCTCATTTTTTTTTTTTTAAATAAAATTATTATTATTATTATATACATTTGTCGTGAGGGGAGTTAAACAAACAAATGACATCGTAATTTTTAACGTGGATTATTGTTATTTTTATTTTAATGATAATAATGATAATAGAAATCGTTTACGAAAAAAAAAAATTAGAGTTGAAGCACTTTAATAATTAATTATGTACATATATATTAATTAAATCGTTTTAATCGAATGATAGTAATAATAATAATTGTTAATAAAATAAATTTCAAAAAAATGTGTATTAATTAGTTTGTGTGTGTAAATAAATTTTCTTGATAAAAATAATAATAATAATTTTTTTCTATTATTATTATTACTAGAAATTATTCGAATTTATTAATTAATAAATAAAAATTGAGAGAGGGGGGAAGAGAAAATGGGGGGGAAGAAAATAATAATAATTATTTAAATTAACATTATTATTTTTTCATTGTCATTTTATTGATGATAATTCATAAATAGATCTCTTTTTTTTTCTTTATTTATTATTATTATTATTGTTATTGTTTTTTATTGTATGATTGCGTCGTCACTTTTAAAATTTATGTACATAATAATAATAATAATAATTTAGATGCACCACTTTTGACAATTTATAATTATTTTATTTCGATTATTTTTTATGAGTGTAAGTGAGTGTATAAAAATTTATATACGTGTACAGTTATTATTATTATTATTATTATTATCATTATTGTCAAATGTTTTAAATAAATAAGTGTACAAACACACACACACACGCACGTGAAATGTGCTTTCTTATCATAACTTAATGAATATATCAAATAACGATTTCTTATCGAATTTATTTATAAATTTTTTTTTTTATTGATTCTCGTGATTTTCTTTTTTTAATTTCTTTCTTTAAACATAAAAATTAATATTGTAAATGAATAATTTTCAAAAAAAATAAATAAATAAATAATAATAATAATTATTATTATTACTATTATTTACTTTTATTATTCTCCTAACAAAAATTAATTTTTGCATTTGGTTACAAAAAAATAAATGAGATAATAATAATAATAATAATAATAATAATTGCGAAAGGTGTAATACAATCTGAAAAAATAAAATAAAAAAAAAAACTTAATTTTATACAAGCGTAATAATTCAAGTTTGTATTAAATTATTAAAAAAAAAAAAAAAATTTCCTGAAAAAAGTTTATGAATAATAGATATGTAAAAAAAAAAAATGGTAGGAGAGAAAAAGTTTATGAGTTTACCTGAACGCTTAAAAAAAAAAAGAAAAAAAAGTAAAGAGGGGAAAAAAAATAACAAAATAATAATAATTATAACTTATTTTTTTCTTCGCCATTAAAAAAAAAAAAAATGTATTTAAGTTTAAATCAAAAACAAAATAATTAAAAAAAAAAAAAAAACGAAACAAATTCTTTGCTTTATTTTCATACGAATGAGTTAAAAATTTATTTATGTATACATAGATACATATAAATATAATGTTAATAGAAATTTAAATTTAATTAAAAGGGAAAAGTATGATTGAAATCAAATATTTTACTATTATCATCAAAGTAAATTTGATCGAAAATATTTACAAAATCGTTATTTATAAACGAAACTCTTTCCCTTCCCCTCCCTCGTCCCCTTCCTCTTCCCCTTTCCTCCCATTAAAATTAATTTAATTTTATTGTGTGTTAAATATTTTTGTGTAAATAAATATTTGACTCTTATTGTCTTCTAATTTTGACAAAAATCAAAATAATGATAGGAAATTTTTAAAATAATTTTACTCCTTCCAAAAAAAATAAAGGTATTAAATTAAAATGATTTACTAAAGAAAATTTTTTTAAAAAAATTTATCCAACCTGCGGTTTTTATTTAAAAATGTCTGTTATATTAAAAATTTTTCATTTATATAAGGTAAAATGAACATTCAAGGTCTTTAGCTATTATTATTACAATACCACGACTAATTGTAATCTAAAATATTATTATTATTATTATTATTATTATTATTATTATTATTATTATTATTATTATTATTAATAATAATAAATATGGGCCGTCCCACATAGTGCGATTTCCTGGATGGTTTCTTCTTTCAAATTCTTCAAAATCTTCTTTAAATTTCCTTTCATTGAATGTGGTGGCATGGCTCCCAGTGCTGCTTCCACCATGACCGGAATCGTTTTTGTTTTCCTGTTCCCCACATCCTTGCTATTTCAATTTCCAAATTTCTATATTTCAGCCTTTCGTCTGCTTCTTTGGCTGTCTGGTGTTTTTTTTAACTTCACCTCAATTAACTTACACCATTTTTCCGCATTATGCCTGAGGATGATATCCGGCTTGTTCGCTGGCACAGTTCTGTCAGTGTGGATTTGTTGATCATACAGAACTGTGCAAGGACCTACTGTCGTAACTGGGCTTGGAATGTAGTTGTACCACTCCTTGGGTAATCCATCTATTCCATATTCTCGGCATATACTCCAATGGAGATATTGACATATTTTATTGTGCCTTCTACCTTTCTTTAGTGAAAAATTTGATCTGATGTATCAGAAAAACATAAGACCCCAGGAGGTAAAAAAAAAAATAACATCCAAACAGTGAATTCCCGTAAAAAAATAAAATTTTTAACAGTGGATTCCCTCTTAAAATAAAATGTGTGCCAGGTAAAATATACAAGGTCGTCCTACTTAGCGTAAACAGTAAACAAGGTCGACCTTGGTTGAAAAAACGTGACCATGAAAATTTTCACAAAATTGAAATTTAAAACTGGTGGCCTTGTAATCAAGGTCGTCCTACTTAGAATAAATCGTAAACGTTGAATTTTGTAATGATTACTCGGAAACGATGGTAAACTTTGGTCATCAAAAGTGGGTGGAAAAAGAAGAAGAAGAAATTCTCCAGTGCTGGAAAAAGAAAAAAAGAGTTTACAACGAGGAAGGGAATTTGTTGTTGTTGTTGTTAAAATCGTGGATTTAATTACGGAGGCTTTCAGAAGAAGAGTCTACCATTGACGCGGGATCGTGACAGACACGTTATTTTCGACATTGAATCCGCCACACATATATGTGTGCGTGCGTGCGTTTTTTTATTACACCGCGAAGCGTTATTATATGTTCTATTATGGTATCGACCACCTACTACTACGATTATTAAGTTTTCCGTTTTTTTTTTTCAAATTTATAATGATGATAATAATAATAATAATATAGTAATATATGTATTTATTCTCTCAAATATATTATTTAAAAATAAAAAAAAAATTTGTTTTTTTTTTCCATCATGCATGTTTGGTTATATCATTCATTTATTCCCATAAAAAAAAAAAGCTTAAAAGAAATTTTTATACAAATGGGGTTATGCAACTGGCAATACGCGAAACCCGACAAATTGCATAACTCAAAAAAGTAAGGCGGACGGAAAAAATCGAAAAAATTCAAAAATCCTTAAAAACTTTGGTTATGCAACTGGCAATACGCGTGAACACGACAAATTGCATAACTCACAAAAGTAAGGCGAACGAAAAAAAATCAAGAAAAATGAGTGAAAAATTGGTTCCGAGTATCAGTAAAACATAATATTCAGGAGGTCTCAATTTTTCGATAGTTTCGTTTCGCTTCAACGCCTTGCATTTAGAGTATATGCAATTTTCAATACAATTTTTAACCAATGGCGTGCTTTGTATACATAATTAGAAAATTATGGCGCTCGCCATTCTTACTCGTGATTGGTCAGGAAAAAAAATCACATATTTTTCATGTTTAACTTATGTATTAATAGGAATAAAATTTAAATTATGAAATAACTATATTTTAAAGCAAAATTTTGTATATGTATGTGTTTAATATGACCAAGGATGGAGAAACGAATTTAAAATAAAAAAAATAATAATAATAAGGATAATAAATAAATTTTATTTAATTTTTATTTATTTATTATTATTATTATTATGTAAAAATATTTATTCGTGGCCGTATTATAAAAGCAATATATATATATATATATTGTTATGTTCGGTTCGTTCTTTATATTATAAGTCGCAAATTAATATTAAAATTAATTTACAGTTTATTTCTTGTGACGTGTTAAATGCTTAGTATACACTTTTTCACAAAATAAAAGTAAAGGTTATTTTAACTCGCGAACAAACACTTAGAAACTATCACTCAACCAAAACTAAAATTAAAGAAACGGATAAGAATTCAATATAACAAAACGAAGAATCAAAAGAACGCGTGCAAAGCTGTGAAGCTTCCCTTTATAACCTCGGTTTTTCATTAGTCAATTGTTTCGAATGTCCAACAATCTAAACGAGCAAATACTTGCAAATAAAACAATAGAAAGATTTTCTAGAAGCTTCGCTTCTAAAGAAGAACAATTTGAGTTCATCGTTAGTCTTTTGTTTATAAAAAAATTGAAAAATGTGAACATTGAGTACGGGATCATAACAATATATATATATATATATATATATATAATTACAAGGCCAAAACTGTATTCTATTACTGGAACAGCTAATGTGCCAATGGAGTTTAACTTATTTCTTCCATTCAGTTCCGACTGTAATATAAGCCTCAATCTTTTAAAATATTCTTTCTTTAATTGAGGTTTAATTTCTTTGTTCAATCCCCAGATATTTGTATGTTGATCCAGGGTCCAGTTCTTTAATAAGTTCTTCTTCAGAGTCTTCTATATTTTTCTTTTGTGTTAACTTTCCTCTGACAATATTAACTCGGGCACATTTTTCCAAACCAAATTTCAAGTTGATGTCAGAGGAAAAAGTTTGAACCGTCCTTAGCATTTTATTTAACTCCTCTTCATTTTTTGCATAAATTTTTAAGTCATCCATATACAGCATATGGGTGATTTTCCTGCCTCCCGGTACCAACTCATATCCTTCAGTCGCA